GCGCAGGTTTCCCCCGCTCGAGCGGTCATTGCACAAAGGTACACGCTCGAGCATAAACTTTCTTGCTCGAGCGTACTGTAAAAGTACTGGATGGGTGATAATCTCCGTCGACGCTCCGCTCGAGCTTGAGACACATAACTCCGAGCTTGAACGCGCCCAATCCTCCGCTCGAGCGTACTGTAAAACAGTGCAGAGATACTGCATGCTCGGTTCCAGCTCGAGGCGCACTTTCCCCGCTTCGAGCGGAAGTGCAAAATCTGGGAATTCCAGATTACACCTCAAAGCTCAAACTCACATTCAAAATGCATCAAAAACCAATCTCTTTAGGCCCATTTTCTGGAAAACAATTATAAACACATAGAATAACATGTTTCAAAGCTCAATTTTAAAGAAATCAAAGCCCAAGGGTGTTTAATTCAAACTCAATTTAAAACCATTTTTCAAGCACAAGATGAACTGCAAACAGGCATGAATTCAAACCATTTTTGAAGCTCCAATTTTGATGCTCTAGGGAGCCAATTGACCAAAAACAAGTTGAAAAGCATGGACCATTAACAAATTTGGACATGCATGCACCATTTTTTGCCAATGAACTCAACTCCAAATTCAACCAAGAAACACATGCAAGCATGAATTTGCTCTATATCAACATGTATGAACTAAACATGACTTAGCTCTACAATTTAACATGGACCATGCAAGAATTAGTTCAAACACAAGAATGAGAAGGTGAAATTCATACCTAAGTTCCTTGAATGCAAGTTAGAGGTTCAATTTAGCAATCCACACTTCAATTAGCAAGCAATTCACCAAGCAATTCAAGCCAATTCAACAAAATGAACTCAATTCCTTCCTCTAGTCTCTCTCTAGTCGGCAAGGCAAGGAAGAAGGCTGAGGAAAACGTTTTTGGCTCAAGTATAATGAACTCAAAGTGTATAGGTAGTGGCCCACTCAAGGGCAAGGTTGTAATTAAGGCCAACTCTGTATTTTATCAATATTTAATCTAATTAATCATACCTAATCAGTTTTCAAATAATTATACCATAAAATCACATTAATTATGACGATCATAAAACACCAATCAGTTTCTAATTCGGCCGTCGATAAGGCTTCAATTAGCGGTTTAAACACAAAGACATGAACAGATAATTAATCAATCAAACAGATAGAATATGCAACACAATAGATATACTTGGCTAATTCAGTTTCAATTTCAGTCAGTCAGTTCAGTATTTCATTCAGTTCGATTCTCAGTCATAATCAGTTCAGTTTAACAGTAATCGGTGGTTATCGGTAGGCAGTGGTGAGGGTTATTACATCTTCACCTTTGGTCTTTACAAAAGTTGGGTTGATCGTCGAGAGCTTTCCTTTGATCCGAAAATTTCTTGTTTTGGAGCACGTTGAGTTCCGTCATCTTCTTCCCTTGAGCTTCGAATTTGAGGTAGGGATTCCTACTTACTCTTATGGTCTTTGACATAGATTTTTGGTTATTTTGATAAAGTGTTGAAATTGGGTGATTTTGGGACTTAGGGTTTCAAAATGTTAAAAGAGGGGTTTATTATTTTGATTCTAAAATGAGTATTTTGGGTTTCAAAATAGTGGTGTGGTTGTTGGTTGATGAAAAATGGACCATTGGGTCATTATTGGAAAATGGAGGAGAATGCCCTAATTTGTATATAAATTAATTGGTATAATTAATTTGGGAAGGTTATGGATTTTATGAAATTGAGTTGTAAATAATGAAATTGGTTCATTATGTGATGAAATGGTGGAGTTGAATTTATTAATCGCTCACTCTTGAAAACATTGATATTTTGTCTGTTGAAGCTTTTATTATCTGTTTAGAAATAATTGCTTGGGCTACCGGTGGAGGGTAGTTTTGATTGTTGTAGACAATGCATGATGATTAAACAAACTAAAACTAATCAATTGGTTATGTCATAGAGTATGGCAGTTGATAGAATACATTAACGTTATGTATTGATTGATTGTGTATATGACTTATGTGTATATACATTGTGTATGTGGGAGGAGATAGGGGATGTACTCCACGGTTTAGGGGAAGATAGGGGATGGACCTCTAAACTGGATGTTATTTGGGAGGAGATAGGGGATGGACTCCACTGATACAGCTCATATGCTTGTCAGATAATGTGATGATACAGCTCATATGCTTATCTATGGAAGTGTTGATACAACTCATATGCTTATCATTGGACGTGTTGATATAGCTAATATGCTTATCTGTTGAAATATGGATACAACTTGTATGCTTATCTGTTGAGATGTTGATACAACTAATATGCTTATCCATTGTAAAAACGGGAAATGTTTAATATGAGTTATGGTCTCATACAAGTGGGTGGCCAGGTTCTGAGCCGTTGGTGTAAATTGTGAAATTGTTATGGCATGAAATATGAAATGGAAATGGATTATGAACTGATTGGTGAAAATTGAACATTTATCAATTGCTAATGTCTTAGTTATTGCTCATACTGTGTTTAGCATATCTCTACTGGGCGTTGGCTCACCCTATATGGGACATTATTTTCAGGTACAGGTAGCATGCCACCTCCAAGGACATAGCTTGGATGATGATGAGAGTTGAAGACTCTTTTGATTGTTTTATTTGTATTACATGTATATCAAGCCAAGGGCTTATTTTGTATAGAGTTAGTACTCTTCTTTTGTGTAACCAAGTGTTGACTTGGAAAGTTGTAAGCCTATAGGGCATTTGCTTTTATTGTTAACATGTAATACCGTTGTAAGAACTACTCTGATGAATAGAAATTGTTAGTTTCTTCCTATCAATGTATGTCTAAAGTGATGGATTTATGTATTTATTTTGGGGCGTTACAAATAACGTAACACTCCAATATGACTAAAAAAACTCCTTAGTATACTTTTTTTAAACGTAACACAAAAAAACTCTTTAGTATATTTTTTTCAAATGTAACATTCCAATTAATACAAACCCAAATGTAACACTTCAATGTAACACACAAAACTATTAAAAAACTTTTTAGTATACTTTTTCCAAACATAACACTCACAGTTTGAAATTATATATTTGTCCAAAACTTACTAAAGAATTTTCGTACTCCTTTTGAAATGGTTTGAAGAATCCCACATACATTAAAAAGTTTTTTTATGTGTTATATTGGAGTGTTACATTAAAGAGTTTTTTTACGTTTGAAAAAGTACACTAAGGTATTTTTTTGAAGTGTTGTATTGGAGTGTTACATTTAAGAAAAGTATACTGATGAGTTTTTTTAGTGTGTTATATTAGAGTATTACAGTGGAGTGTTACAATTTGAAATTATGTATTTGTCCAAAACTTATTAAGGAGTTTGTACTCATTTTGAAATGTTCGAAAAATCTCACATCCTTTTGAAATGTTTGAAAAATCTCATATTTTAAATCATTTTTGTATCGCTTTTGGAATGTTTAAAGAATATCACATTTCAAGTTATTCCAAATAAAAAAGATTTCCTTATAAAAAGTTATTCCAAATTTGATTCTTATAGATTATGTATTTTATGTTTCTAGCACAAAAGAAAAAAAAACAAAAAGAAAAAAAAGAAAACATAATAGAAATAAGGGCATAACCGTAAACCTAATTTTCAAATAATATATTAAATCTACATTTTCAAAATCAATGGGACTAATTGGTTTATAAATAATAATAATAAAAAAAACTCGGGGACTAAATGGATTATTATTCCTTAAAGTGGGATTTATAGGTAAATTTTTCTTATTATTATTATTATAAAAAAATTAAAATTAAAAAATAAAAAAATAGAAGAAGAAGTAGTGAGGTTTGATGAACTCAGTTAACGTGTAAGCTTACTTTTTGCTTTGTGTTGGCATAGATGTTTTTGTGCAAAAAAGTCAAAAAAATTAATTGAATGAGGTTGTTTGGTGAAATTTATGAAGCTACTTATAATTTTTATTATTTTGAAAACTTATGCAAGAATGTTTGCTTGAAATGCCCAATGTCTTTCAAGTTAAATAATTGGATTTTATCATTTTGACCTTCACAAATGTAAGAATATTATTTAAATAAAAAAATAAAAAAGATGAAAATTATAAAACATTGAAGGTAATTTCATCATTTTTTAATGAAAAGTTAAATGAGTTATAAACGTTAAATTGTCACCAAACAAAATAGGAAAATGGGTGAGAACAGACCATACTTTTTTTATTGGACTAAAGAACTCAGATATCATCCCCAAAAAAAATGTATTGACTCCACTCAAAACTATTTTGGACAAATTAAAAAGTGTATTTTGTATACACGTAACCAAAATCAAATTCAATAAAAAGTGGGCTAAAAAATCCTCATGTCAAATTAGTAAGCTATTTAACCCAAACTTTTCACTTAAATTTTTTTTATCGGCTTTAAAAGCAAAAGGTTAGGAAGCCATCCTTATAGAGTCACGAGTAAAATGAATTTAAACTATTAATTATTATTTTTAAATAAATTTCAAAAAAAAATTCTGAATTTATAATTTTACTTTTAGCCATAAACAATCAGAAAAATAGTATCAAACATTTTAAGATGATTAGTTAAAAAAAAACCATTTTAAGATGAGTAGGCTCATTCAAATCAGATTGTGAATTTAATTGTGAAAAAATACGCAAATGGGCCACATGTGCATTTACATTTCAGGCGAGAACACTCATAGCAAGAAAATAATGCATAAAATAATCAAAATGTATCCCAACTTAACGTTCTTCAAAATTCATGTAGTTAGTTCTAGAAACTCATTAACGTATATGCATGCACAGTGTGGTTTGGTGCAGTTTAAGGGTAAAAGCACTACAGGAAACGGGGCCTACTGCAATGTTTTTTTTTATGGCGTTTAGGGAAACGCCATTAGAGATTAATTGAACACAACATTTTCTTTGATCACAGTGAAACGACGTCGTATTGGGTGTATATATTGACACCGGCCAACCTCCGTCTCTCTCACTTTCTGTCTTTTTCACAACTCAGTCTCTCTCTCTCTCTCTCCCCCTCTCTCTCTCTCCCAAAACCCCCAATTTGAAGCTCTAACTCTAGCTCTCTCGATTTGAAGCTCTAGCTCGCTCGATTGCAGATTTTGCATTGTATATTCATCGAACTCTCTAGCTGTTCTTCATCGATCTGTCGCTGGAGGGCTTTGATCAGTCTCTTCATCGAACTCGAACTCAAACTCGATCTGTTCTTCATCAAATCACAGATCCAAAATCGATATCATTCTTGAACCAAATTGATCTATGTTGCTCTTATCTCAGGTGCATTTTTCATTCTCTTAATCGGTGTTCGAGTTTGAACCAGATCGATCTCTGTTGCTCTACTTTCTCATTGTCGAATCTGCTGATTAACTCTCTAATTTTTTCATTCTCAGATTAGATCAGATCAGATCGTTGAACCAGATCGATCTCTCTTGCTCTGCATCTCAGGCACCTGAGGAGCTTCCAAAGAAGAAAAAGTTGTTCTTTGCTCATGCTGCAGAGAACTGGGATGCTGAATTCTATGCCAAAGTCAATGACGATGTTTATGTAAATATTGATTTGTGATCGATCCATGCATTTCGGTGATACTTTTGTTATTAAGGATTGAAACTTGAGTGTAATGCATTGTGAAGTTATGATTTATTTTTTTGGTGCAGATGCCCTGGGAAATTCACTTGCAGCTCATTTAGACAAGCCTCGTGTATATGTTGGGTGTATGAAATCAGGCGAAGTTTTCTCTGAACAGTAAGCTTGGTTAACAAATTTAACTCAATTATGAATGGCTTACAAAGTGATAGTTTGCATGTAGAATTTGAATTTCATTTTTTTCTACATTATTTACAAACTTGGTCTTTTGTTTTTTTTTTTGTTTTTTGTTTTTTGGAATCTAGCAGGAGCCACAAATGGTATGAACCAGATTGGTGGAAAAATTTGGGGATGGGAAAGTGTAAGTGTTACTTTATCTGATTAAGGCTCGTAATTCAATTATGTAGAGGAAATTTCATTACATTTCATAATTCTAATATTTATAATTTCTTATACCTGGCATGTCATAGGGGAAACAATTTTGTGAGTTAAAATCTCTGAAAAAATTCTATTTTCCTGTATATTGGCCTAATATGCCCAGCCAAGAAAAAAAAATGTATACGTAAATTTTGGAGAAGTTGCCTTTAGTTGGTTAGTTTACTCATAGGTGTACATTAATTTGAGCATTTTGAATGATCAATGATATGATAATTATAGATCAAATTCCCATGTGAGTTTAATTCTTAAATCACTCTATAATTCTCCATTGCACAGTTTCATGTTAATTTATACCAAATCCTTGATTCATTAAACTCAATTTGTGCCAATATGCTTAGTCTTACTAATTTGTGTATTAGAATATATTTATGAAATTCTATTTTCCTGTGTATTGATCTAATATATTACCAGCTGATTCTGCCCAACCAAGAGGGAAAATATGTATATATACATTTTGAAATTGTTGAATTCAGTTGGCTAGCTTACTCATAGGTCACAGGTATACGTTAATTTGAACATTTTGAATGATCAATGATATATCAAATCTCTCGTGTTAGTTTCGTTCTTAAATTGCTCTAGAATTCTCTATTTCACAGTTGCATGTTAATTTATATCAGTCCTTGATTCATTAAACTCAATTTCTGCCAATATTTTTGGTCTTACAGCATGATTTATCTAACAGGTACTTCCGCCATGCTTCAGGTGAGATGGTTGTCCTATCCCAATCAAATGATAAGAACTACACTTTTGAAGCAGGGAATGGGTTTTTGTTGTCTGTCATGCAATTCTGGTATCAAATTACTGATGTTTTGCTGAATTATACACATGTAAAATCTGTTTCTGTTAGCAGATTGGGTTGAAGTTAAAGAGCTCGTCTTAGCTATTGATTTTTAACTTGGTTTTGCCTCCTTTATATGGTCAGTAATTTAGAATTGAGATTTATTTAAGAGGGCATATATATAATTTTAGAGGAGAAAATTGGATAACATTTTCAAGCTGAAATTCTTTGGCATTTTGATTAACTAGATGATGATTGCATGTGTGTGTCTCTAGTTTTGTTTGCTAAGAGAAGGATAAGGAGAATAAGAGGAATGGTTCTTCTTCCTCTGTGTTTTGTATCTTTTTTCCTATAAGTACACTAATTGGTGATTTACACATGATTAGGTAAGAGGGCTACTATATTTTATTACTAGATAAAGTGCAAATGGTGGAAGTTGCAAAATCATATTCAAGAGAGGGGATGATCTTTGGCAGGACCAGTTGGTAGATTAAGTAGTTTGTTCAGTAGATGTACGTCTTTTCTTTCTTCCCTTCTCTGTCTCTCACAGACAAACATGCATGGGAGAGGTGGGAGTGGAAAGAGGGTGATCAGTTGATTTGATATATTGATTGTGGTCGCTGTAGGTTATTCAAATGGTATTGTTTATGGGTCGCTTGATCTGCATTTGACTCCATACAGGTCCTAGCAACTGGACATGATGAAGGCATGTTGGAATTTATACCATCTAGTTCTTTAGCATAGGTATGAGATGCTTCTGTTGTAGTGCAAGAGCAACAACTTATAGTTACGTAACAACTTATAGTTACAGTTCGCATAGTTCTCATTGATAATTGAGTTGCAAAGCGTCATCATTATCACCTTTATATTAACAGATTCAATGCTTAATTCGGTTGACATGCATTTAGTTCTTCTTAACATTGATTATTGTTATTTAGCTTCTCAAAAAATTGAAATTTGGAGTTTCAAGTATCCTGGTCTAATGGAATCATACTTTCAATTTCAAGGATGACATGGTTTTTTTCCTTTGCTTAAAGTATTAAGTTGTTCATCCCTGAAGGCCTACTCATATCTGTGCAAATTACTTTTTTGTGCAACTATGTCTAGTGCGTTTCTAGTTCATTAGGAAAATGGCTTTGAGAGGAAAGTCATGCTAATAGAATACTTTTTGGCATTCCATTTCTATTGTAAATTTATATTACAAGGAATATTGATTACTTTGAGGAGTATTAGTTGCATTAAAAATGAAAGGTTTATGGGTTCTAAATTTTTTGTATGATGTATATCTATTGAGGACGTTTTGTAACTAATTTACCTATATGATTGCATGTGCCACCAGATAGGATAAATTGCAGTGTCTGATCACAGTGTTTGTGATTTCCTACAATATTTGATGATTAAAGTGGGTGTAGTTTTAGCTTTGTTGTGGATTGTCACAAATACCATGTTGCAATGGGTTCAATAGAGGTTAATCCTTTTGATTCCAGATACTCTCAGAGCACCGAAGTATTATAATCTTCTGATCCTGAAAAAGGCATTACTTGTTTATTTAAAGAATATAATGGTTTATTTTTGTATGACCATGTTTGTGATTATATCTTTATAGCTTCAAGAGAAGTTTCGGTTGGACTTGGACGATGAGGAATGCATACATTTTTTCTAGGATCTCATCAATGAGAGTGTCAAGGCTTTGTTCCCTCAAATACATCGATGGGCCTAGCACTAGCGTTGACGACCACGAAGTAAGGAGTTATTCATGTCTAAGTTAGCTTATTATAATTTCCAGGTTGTTTGTGTTTTTGTTGCTTAGCAAACGATCAATCTGTTCAGGTACTAACTGGAACACACTTAAATCATGTTGAAATTGGGTTTTTATCAATTTTACTGAAAACTAGTTTTGGACTTCAGTTGGCTGTCTCTATGGCATATCCGCTTCCCTCTCTCGACATCTATGGATTCATGCACCATGGTAGGTAACAATATTTTGCTCATATACACCTTTATCACTGTTTCAAGACTAAGAATTAAAAGTATAGAATAATTTAGTGGATTGAAAATTTTAATGTTCTATTGTTCTTTGAATTTTATTACTATGCAGGATAAAAATCCCATACCCACTACAATGGGGCGCACCTACTTTTAACGCAGGTCATCCTTTTGGGATGATGGCTACTGTATTAGTCTCCATGATTGAGATAATTTTTTACACAAAAAAAATCAATCAAGTATATTTTTATCAGTGATTAACACAAATATTCATATTGACAGTCAACTGGAGCGTTTAAGGTTGCGTCTCGTCTAGCAAGTGCCACGCCACCTCCTGCTCGTGTTCTTAGCTGTGGTATTGGTTGGCAGGTCTGCAAACTACACAAATCTTGAAATTTGGTGAAATAAAAAATAAAAAATAATTTGTTATTTGGTATTTGGTATTTGGTAAAAAGAAAAATAATTAACTCGTAATCCATGTTGCAATATATTGACACAGAACTTCATCATACAGGGAATTGGGATCCTTTTCAATGGACGTTTTGGGATAGTTACAGGATCTACAGTTTCTGTGTAAGTACTAACAGAGACTCTTCTATTCAATCCTTTGTTCTTGAACACTGTTCTGGTTGGAAATGGATGCTGACAATTTTATTTTGAAAAAAACTAGAGAAAATGTAGGTCTTCTTTGAACGGCTTGCTTTGGAAGTTGCAGGGTCGTACAAATTTCTTTTTTCCATTTGGCTTCTACTTCATTTCTCTTTTCCGTTTCCTTCTTTTTGTGCATTTCACTCTGTGTTCCTAGAGCCTCAGACCTTGTTATTTTCTTTGATTTCTTGGTTCTTTTAATTTTTGGTGAGAGCAGTTTCAAGAGTGTGGCTTGAAATTGAATTTTTAGTGATTTTTTTCCGCCAAGTCACAGATTGTACATACTATTGCTCTTGTATATAGGTAGTAGATTCTCAAGCTTTTTTCTTAGTTAAATTCTTTGGCCCAGTGTTATGTCATATTTTGGTTAAATTCTTTGGTTGTGTTCTGCTATATTTAAGTTACATTATTTAGCTGTGTTGTGCTAGATTCAGAACACCCTCCCCCCCCCAAAAAAAAAGATGGCGTTTTTGAAAAAATGCCACTAAATGACGTAATCATGTCATGTGACGGAAAGGAAGCAGCCGTCAATGTTTTTGCAACGTTTTTTAAAACGCTGCCTGATGTTTTTAGCGACGTTTTTAAAACGTTGTAAAGCTATTACGGCGGCCGTGTCAGTGATGAAAATATTAAACGTCGTTGTAACTTATGATGGCATTTTTGAAACTTAAAACGCCGCTAAAAATCAATTTTCCTGTAGTGAAGAGAAACAACGCGGCGACGGGTATCAGATTGACAAATTTGTCATTAAAAACCATTATTTTTTCATCAAAAACCAGTCGAGTGGTTTGCAAATAATGGAGGGTTTTGACTTGGCAATTCAAGCAGATTAGCGGATTAGAAAAAACTTGATACAAATTACTGAACTTGAATCAAAGATTAAAAAAAACCAATTTATAAATTACCTAAAGTAGTCGAAATTAAAATAGATGTTCATTCACCTAAGACCATCTCCAATGGTTACTCAAACCTTTCAAATTTGATGAAAAGGAGCTATTTTTCTGCTCCAACGGTTGCATCAAATAGGTATCAAATTAAGAATTTCATTTTTCTTTCATCAAACTGAGGACAAATGTGTCTTTCATCAATCATTGTCGTTGCCAAATGTCCCCTCGGATGTCATCGGGCGAACATTCGCCGGTCGTCCACCCAGTCGGTCGGTGTTCTAATAAAACTTCAAAATCCTCCATTGGAGCACTTGATATCAAAGGAAATTTTTACTCAAATTAATGAAAAAATTGATGCACCGTTAGAGATACTCTAACATTTAACATTGACAAACTAGCAGATTAAAAATCAAAAATCCAAACAATTATACAATAACAATCCAACAAGGCTACACAAAGGTTGATGATGGATGATGCAGCAGAAGGGTTGGATCACTCTGGAACCGGATTCGATAAACCAAACTCAACTCAACTCAAAACTAAAAAGAGCTATTGCTGACACCATATTTTATTTTTTGCCGATTTTGGCCTGTCAATAGGCCAAATCTAATCTAATTAGCCGTGACCTGCCAATTATGACAAAATCCAATTTGATCATGGCTTGTTGATTATAACCAAATCTAATCTCATTGATTGTGGTCTGTTGATTTTGATCTATAAATTCAGATCACAGATTTTTTATTATTATTATAAAGATTATGGCCATATTATTATTATTATTATTATTATTATTATTATTATTATTATTATTATTATTATTATTATTGTTACTGTTATTGTTATTGCTATTATTACTAATGTTATGCAGATTAGTTTCATTCAAACCCACCAAATCGTGGGTTATGCATGTTGGGTATACCCCCTTATTGGAGTATGAGACCCAATTGGTTTATTAAAATATTTAGTTTGGTTTGGTGTTGGTTATAATATATTTTTAATATATTATATCTAACTTTTGGAGGCCCAATGGGTATTTGATAATCAGTTTGATAACAGATAGGGTTTTGATAAAAAAAAGCCCAATAGTCTACAATATATTTGATATCGTTTTGTTTTTTCTGGAGAGAAGAAAACAAAAAGAGGCAGCCGTTTGACTTGGATTAGTAGCAGCAACTTTTTGATCATCTTCGGTGGGTTATCATCATTATGAGAAGAATAGTGGTGCTCTGCTTCGTTCAGTTTTCGGTTTTGATTTGGGATATTATTTTGGGTCTTTTACAGCTTTATTTCGAAGACTCTTGTTCATCTATTTGGTGAGGTCTTTCCTCATGTTTGTTTGTGATTATTCAGAATTCACTTAAGGGTGGTTTCTGAGACCATTCATGTCTCGTTTGTAATCATTTGGAAACTCTTTAGTTGATAGTGGAATCGGATTTCGATCCCATGAACATACATGTAAAAATTCTTGTGTCGTTGTTGATTTAATTTTTCCATATTAGTTTTTATTCCCATTGATTGATTTACTTGTAAAAAATCATATATTTTTCCTAACAACTGATATCAAAACTTACGGTTTATTTGGGTTTATTTATTTGTGTAAATCAATTGAGGAGAATGTGAGTCGTATGTCTAGCTTCAATAGAAGCAATTGGGTAACTTAAAAAACTAAAATGGAGGACCTATTAGTTTGTAAAGATTTGTATAGACGCATTGCGGGTGATAGTGGCAAACCTAAAGGTATGAAAGATGATGAATGGAAGAGGCTTAATCAAAAAGTCATTGGTGTTATCCGTCAATGGATTGATGATAGTGTGTTTCATTATGTTGCTACTGAAACTTCAGCACATAATTTATGGAAAAAATTAGAAGACCTTTATGACAGGAAATCAACCACAAATAAAGCCTTTATATTTCGAAAGTTTGTTAATTTAAAATATAAAGATGACAACCCTATTCTAGAATATTTGAATGAAATAAAGAGTATTGTTAACCAACTTGCTTCTATGAATTTTTTTTTTAATGATGAGTTGCAAGCTTTGATGCTACTTAGTTCTTTGCCTGAAAATTAGGAGATTTTGGTTGTGACAGTTAGCAATTTGGCGCTCGATGGAGCTGTCACAATGAGTCAAGTCACTAGTAGCTTGTTGAATGAAGAAACTCAAAGAAAATCAGCGAGTTCCTCTCATTCAGAGGCATTTTTTTATGAGAGGCCGAAGCAAAACAAGGGGGAGGAGTAAGACTCATCATAGTCGTGATCAAAGCCGTGACAAATCAAGAGAAATGCTTCTTTTTCAAAGAAAGACATTGAGTGCCATTATTGCCATGAGAAAGGGCACATGAAACGGGAATGCTGAAAGCTCAAGAACAAGGAGAAAAAAGGAGAAAAGACGTGACAAAAGTGTTGATAAGAAGCAAGAAGACACAACAGCAGTTACTACCAATGATCTCATGGTCGTTTGTGAAGATGATTGTATCAATTTTGTGGGCCAAGAGAGCAATTGGGTGATTGATTCCGGTGCTTCTTTTCATGTGACTTTTCAAGTTAATTTCTTCACTACCTACACCAAAGGAGATTATGGTTATGTTCAAATGGGTAATGAAGGTTTGTCCAAGATTATTGGCATAGGTGATGTTTACTTTGAAACAAATTTGGGTTGCAAGTTGTTGCTTAAAGATGTGAGGCGTGTTCCCGACATTTACCTCAATTTGATCTCTACCGGAAAACTAGATGATGAAGGCTTCGACAACAAATTTCGTGATGGAATATGGAAGCTCACAAAGGATTCTTTAGTGGTGGCTAAATGCAAGAAGACTCATACACTTTATTCGATGCAAGGAAAAATTTGTAAAGGTGTTATTAATGCACTTGAAGATAATACTTCTACCAAATTGTGGCACAAGCGGCTTGGACACATGAGTGAAAAAGGGCTACAAGTCTTGTTCAAGATAGAGCTTCTACCCGGTTTGAAAGGTGCACATCTTAAAACTTGTGTTCATTGTCTGACGGGGTAAACAACATAGAGTTTCTTTTCATAAAAATGTTGCTTCTAAAAAAGAAAATGTTTTGGAGTTGATTCATTCGGATGTTCGTGGTCCTTTAAAAGTTAGAACACATAGTAGTGCACTTTATTTTGTTACTTTCATTGATGATTATTCAAGGAAAGTTTGGGCTTTTATACTAAAAACTAAATATCAAGTTTTATATGTATTTAAGCATTTTTAGGCCATGGTTGAAAGAAAAACTATCACTACCCAATCCTAGGGGCTTAAGATTGGAATCGCAATTTACTAACTTGTTCTATTTGTAGCAAATTAAACTGCGCAAGCAGAAATAAAAATAATTAAATAGGAAATTACTCCATTTTATTATTTTAACAAGAGAAAATACATTTATAGGGCTTTTATTATTTTATTATTCAGTGACCGGCCCCGAGTAGAACAAAAGGGAGCAAATATATATATATATATATAAAAGAAAAGAAAGATAAAATAGTGGTTCAACATCAATCCACGTGCGGATTCCATTCGTGAGGTTATGAGTTTCCCCTACATCTCGTTACTTGAAAGGGTAACAACTATAAGCATACAGCAGAGTGAGAAATATTATGCCAAGAGTATAGGGAATACAAAATAACCATGGATAGTTAGTTAAGCCAAAACATTTACATAACTCAATTTGGTAAAATAAATCATTTAAGTGGCAGAAACTGAAATACATAAATTATATAAATAAATAACCATAATCACGATACAGAACAGAACAGAAGTCACAGAAATGACAATCAGAACAGAGATCAATGGATCCATGACAAACAGAGGACCACGAAGTAGCCAAACAGAGACCAATGGTTATTTAAGTCCCCCAAGACGTGGGACTCCCATGATGCTACTTACAAAACATAATTATTTATAAGGTCATAGTCAAATATATACTAAAATCTAAACAAACATATCTATGAGTTTCATTTTAAATAAATAGAGTTCAGAAAATAACCCACGTAATTGAAATATTAATATAAATTATAATAATTTATAAACATAACTTGTGTAAAATAAATGATGGTAAGTCAAAACGTAAGTAAAATATATTATGGTAACTCAATGCATAATATAACTCACCTTTAGATTGAGTCTTACTATTTCCTTCCAATTTTTTCGTACCTTCTCGAGATCCCCTTTTACACAACATCCCTCAGAATTTTTCTTCGTTTTTTCCCTCATACCTCTCCTCATTTTGCAGCCCCCCCCCCAAACACCCTCTTATATACAAAACCTATGATGCCTAAACATTGATGACTCACTCCCCCTACAGGTTAGAGGGTACATGTCACGACCCAAACGTGCCCCTATGGGTTTAGTATCGTAACCGGCCAGTAATCTGTGATTACCAAAGGCCTGCTTAACAGTAAAGACAGTAATACAGAGTAAGGGGCTGGCGGAAGCCAAACAGTAAA